GTCAGATAACTACAAACCAAGTTCCATCTACTGAGAATAAACTTATCCCATTTGTCAGATAACTACAAACCAAGTTCCATCTACTGAGAATAAACTTCTCCCATTTGTCAGATAACTACAAAACCAAGTTCCATTTACCAAGAATAAACTCCTCCCATTTGTCAGATAACTACAAACCAAGTTCCATTTACTAAGAATAAACTTCCTCCCATTTGTCAGATAACTACAAACCAAGTTCCATCTACTAAGAATAAACTCCTCCCATTTGTCAGATAACTACAAACCAAGTTCCATCTACTAAGAATAAACTTCTCCCATTTGTCAGATAACTAAAGATCGACAGAGAATGTGAATATGATAATCAAGTTTTGTTTCATTCGTAAAATTTATTCTTTAACTATTCAAGAACTTTACAACAATCATCAAACTTGTGGAATACATGAAAAAATAAATGTACAACAACCAGGCAACAAAGAAGAAATAACTCTTTGAATTTATTATAATATATATTTGTTATATCTTCTGAAATTTCTAAACACCCACCCCCCATTTTCAAGCTCTCCACAGCCCCCTACATTACTGGCTTCCCCACTTTATCGAAAGTTTTGTGTTTGAATAGAATCTCAGCTTTCATCATTTTCCTTTTCATTTAGTTAATTTTAGAATACTAATTTACAAGAGAGTAACAATATACGATTATAAATTCTGGTTCTATTTGTTTTACCAGTAATGTAGGGATTTTATTCTCCATGTAAAGTCGAGACAGTTTAGTCTGCTATGTGATCATTAGCCGGATCAAGTGATATGTCCACTTTCATCTCTATCTGGTTTGTTTGTTGTCGTTTTCTTCAAGTTCACTAGCCAGCCCTACGTAGCTTTTCATTTAGCAATAATTTTGTTTCCCTTATTCTTGTTTGTTGACTTTCTTTTTTGGTTACTCGGTTACAGAATGTATTCTAAAGTTTTATAAATTTTACATAGAATAGTAATATAATAGGTAGTCAAAAATCGTAAAGACTGTTTTTCTCTATCAAATGATGATAAAATGAGAAATCTCGATTTTGGCTCTTCGCCAGTTTTCGACTTTGGGACGCTCTGGATAGCTGAAAAGCGGCATATACATCGGACATAGAGAAACCATACATATCTAGCTTCTATTGACCTGTAGAGAAGAAAATCAGGATGACTTTTGTATTGTTTTAATACGGGCGTCTGTGCCATGATACATAGAGTGCTAACATTCTTTTCCCTTATCTAGTATTAGTCCGAGTTAGGTACGAATAGTTTAGGTAAAAGTCGTCACTTAAACTGTCACTAGTGACGAGTCCAGTCTTCTCTTAGTTATGAATGAGTTAAAAAAAAACGTAAAATAATAATAATTTATTCACTTACCTTTATTTTGTTTTTGTTTAAAATGTGTGAAACTGAAATATCTTTAATTTTTTAGATTTGAAATCATTTCAACTTTAATTAGTTTGTTTTGTTGAACTTTGCCGAAAGCTATTCGAGGGCTAAGTTCCTAACTTAGAAGTGATAGACTAGAGGGAAGTCAAATAGTTAGCACCATCCACCACAACTTTTTTGGGCAACTCTTTATCAACAAAAATGTGCAAATTATAACGCCCCACGACTGAATGGGCCAGCAAGTTCAATCAGGGGGATTCGAACTCGCTAATTGCGATCGAGCGCCCTAACCACCAAGCCATGTCAGACCCTTCAACTTTTAATTTAAGGAGAAACTTAAAACTGACAAAATTCTTCTTTCTACATGAAGATATCAAGAAGTAATGAAAGTAGCCAAAACATTAACTGGTCGTTGATTGGTTGAATCTCTCTACGCTAGCCCTCCCTAACTTAGAAGTGACAGGTTGAAGTTGTGAAAGTTGCATAAAACTAGAACCAAAACATTAACTGGTCGTTGATTGGTTGAATCTCTCTACGCTAGCCCTCCCTAATTT